GCTCAGAGGTATTGCACTCTGCGACAGTCGATCTGGCCTAGACGTTCGTTTTCTGGCTGGCTGACTCCCCTCTTTTCCAGAACCAAGTGTTAAAATTTTAAAGCAAAAACTACTGTTTTTTTCAAAGATAAGTGGCAGTTTCATGTGCGGGTGACGAGCACCGACATATCCTGATTGCAAGATGAGTCTGTGCACATTCGTCCCGCAAACCACACTCGCATGGGTTTGAATATTTCCTCATCCCATTCAACGTAACTTGAGACCGAAGCGCCGTAGTGAAGGCCATGCTTGATATACGACTGCGCCTGTTCTAGGAATATCACTGACCAGCAAAGGTAACATGCACTTTCCGCTTGATTTTTTACCTAGATTAGAGGATGACACTAGTTTCTCATCTACACTGAGTAAGCGAATAAGATCACATTGGTGTGGGCTTTTTCGAAAAGATGGTTTCCGTGTGACTGATGTACATGGATATGCACATTTTCCAGAAGTCGGAAATGCTGAGCAACAGTGATTTTCCCAGAGCAGAGTGCGTCTGAAGAAAGTTATTTTAGAAGAAAGAGGGTTGAGCAAAATGTAACATAGCAGGAAGCATTTCTGTAGACAGTCTAAGTTAAGTGAATGAAAGAATTTGTACCGAAGAATTTTGACGCCTTAAAGTTCCCTTTACTTCCGCCAAGCGGAAGAAGATGAAACACATTTTAAAAAAAACAGCTTCAGACATGCGGTTGTCTAGCACACTATAAAGGCGCCGATTGCCTTCCCTTATCATGGGAAAAGACTTTTAAATGTACGGTCACAGTAACCGCCTGCTTGTAGAAATCAGCAGTTACAGAAGAAGTCTGAAATCGCAAATGGCGTCACGAAAATAGTCCAGCCTAGACAGATTTCTTTCCGCGGTGAATAGGAAAATGTGTTGCTCCTTTTAACTGATTTTCAGGCCTGTGGGTAAGTTAGAAGAAGTCTACTGTTCCATCTTAAACAGGCTATAACTCGGGGGGATTAAAATGTTTATCAATGCACCACAAATGGGAGACGCTTGGTTCGCAATTCTGGTAGAAGACACATTTGCGGGTATCGGGATGTAGGAAAAAACTTCCACTTCAGCTGAACAGATTTACCGAAAATTCGCCGACTGTCAGTTTAGACGCGGATTCCTTACAGGACCAGCACCTTGCGGCAGAGGAGGATTTAAACTTGGTAAACTATATCATATTCATTTATAGACAAGGAAACCGTGCACCACTTCCTCTCATGTCTGATGTCGTTATCAAAGACTTTCTTTTTAGGCTCGAGTTTTCCACGTGGTTTTATGGGACCTGCTGTGTACGAGTACTTGGCACAAATCGTTTACCCGTATTCCCCCTTTAGCCCCCACTTTTCGGGCGTCAACTGCAAGATTACGGATAGAATGGGGCTTTGCAGTGTACTTTGGTTTAATTTATTCCCAAATAACTTGTACAAATATAAACGTTTCAACAAACGGTCAGCGGTAAGATAATAACCCTCCTATTGGTACCACACTTTCTGTACGCAGAAATACAATAATCATTACGGGTCGGAAAGGTCTCATTCCAGGAACCAAATTAAACTCTCGGTTTAAGCATGATAAACTGTTTAAATAGTCGCGTTTACGTTAAAAGCGCGTTGCTTATTCCGGATGCGTCCTTAGACCAACAATTCAGGACAAAAACATTTAGCAAAATTGCAGAGAAAAATCAACGGTTGGTGTCCCCGAAGAAATGAAAGAAATAAACAAAAAATAAAACACTTTTTCGCATTTCTCTCTCCACCTCTAAAGTTCCTGAGGTTTTCACTGTATATTCTATTTCTCCCGGTAGTCTAGACTTTACCATCAAGTTCACTTTTATTATTCCGGTCAAATGGATAGGATTTTTTATAATTTTTGACACGACAGAAACTTATATTTAATCAGCTTTTAAATGTGTGCTCTGCAGGTATTACAAAGATTCGAGAAATTAAGGTTCCGACCGCCTTCCAGATCAAAGTTCCACGGAACAAACAAAAAGAGGAGAGTTTCTAAAATGAAATTCTTTTCAACTCTATCTTATGTTGGACTAGATTGTGTTTTGCCACTGTGTAGGCAAGTATTCCACGCGAGAGTTCCGCCGTCTTCTTGGTGGACGCAGCAACGGTGACTTTCGTGTGAACTAGTTTGTAGTGATAGCAGGCTTGCGTACCATCTCTCGCGCTCCCTACTTCATCATCCATCTGGGCCCTGTGGCAAGACAGAGTCGGGGCGACTAAAGGCTGTCTCGAGCGCAATAGCTGACATAGTGAACACTGTCCATCTACACCTGCCAGACACACACACACACACAACCCGGCACCCGCACAGTGTACCAGGTCTTCAAAAAAGGCAACGGCTAAAATCTCCTCCAAGTGGGACCAGTCCCACCTGAGGTGTAACATTGCCAGAAATAATGACAGCAGTGAGAAAAAAAAGTTTAATGAGTGAATCAGGAATGTGTCTACTTACGAATTCTTTGTGTTGGGTAGAAAGACCCTAATCGACCAGGTGCAGCCTCCACAGAAACCTCGTAGGGCTTCCAAGCGCTTTCATCCTCCTCATAAATGTGCGGACACAGACGAGGTCGGTAAAAGTGTCCACCTGCCTGAGACGGGACTAGTCCATGACAACAAATGGGGTCATCTTCGGTGAGCAGCGAGGCCTGCTTCTCTTCCCATCCGGCCGCGGGGGCCCGGTAGGGTCGATGGGCAATTTGGAAATCGGATGCCGTCATGCGATAGGGTTGCTGGTAGGACAGTGCTCCGCCTTCCCCTCGGACAGCAAAAGGCTCTGTACCGCGACTTTGGCTGGAGAAGGCCTCGTCCACAGAACGTCCACGAATAAGCCCCGTGCCCGCACGTAGGCTTCGGTGGACACGGACATCCGGTCTCCTTGTGGTGGGAAGGTCTGTGCTGCTGGTGGTAGCGGCGGCGGCGGTGGCGGTGATGGTGGTGTCCGGAGTCCTGATATAGACCTCAGCGCCGCCGGTTCCCATCTCATGGCTAAAACCACCACTCGCGCGATAATCGATAATCCTAGTATCTGCGTAGATGTGCGCTGGCGGGGACGCCGTGTGGGCGCGACGCGCCGGGATAGGCGGTTGGACAATCGTAATGGCAGTGGAGGGGACAGGGACTGGTCCAGGTACTAGGGACTTTGGAGTGGCCCGCTTCCGTGGAGGTGCGGTGCTACCAAGGGGAGAGTCCGCAGTGTCACCTGCCCCGGCAACGGAGACCCCCGGGGATACTGTGGTCCAGGTGGGTGGGAGGGGTTCTGAGGCCATTCTTTTGAGCATTCGACGTCGGACGTGTCTCTGGGGTAGGTCGTACTGAGGAAGTGGACGGCCCAAACCCTGACCGTACGGGATGTTGTGAGGGTGGCTATCGTAGTCCAGACAGCAAGCGGGGCAGTGATGGTAGTGGTGCGGATGCTGATGGCAGGGCACGTTGAGACTACACTCAGAGTGAGGCATAAACCTAAAAGGACAGGAACGGCAGTGCAGTAAAGGGCTAAGGCCTGAGGTTCCAGTATGAGAACTTGATCTGTGGTAGGCAAAGGCGCCGGGGTGACGATGGGGCAGGAAGTCAGCCGGATTTGGGTAAGCCCGCTCTGTTAGGGAGGTACTGGGGCAGGGGGCCACAGCGACTGTACGTTCGCACCAGCAGAGTGGGAAAGCCGGCTCTGCGGGAATTCGCTGCGGCAGAAAGGCGTAACTACTATTTCGACTACGTGAGAACTGAGGTAAGTCCTCCGGCTCAAGTGGGGGTACGGTGGCGCTAGCCGCTATGGCAAACCCCGGTCTTCTTCGCCTGCGAAGATGTACACTAGTCGTTAAGCTCCCGCCGGGGTTGTCAAGATCAGCCTGCGAAGACCGTCGCCCATTGGGGTTCCCGCCCCCAGGATTAGTGTCACTCATAGTCTCCCCCCTCGATGCCTGAGGTCTGGTCTCGGGTCCACCTGTGTTTCTGTCAACACCACAATTACTTTCATTCACATCAGTAGCACCGCCATTCTCATCACCATCATCATCCTCTTCTTCTGCTGTCTCCAGATGCACGGTACTCGGATCGTTGAGAAAAGACTCAAAGAAGACGCTGGCTTTGGGGCAGGAGAACCTGCCTCCGTAGCGCCCACTGTACAAACGCCAGTTATATGGGTAGAGAGAGTGTTGAATATTCAGAGCCTCCATGGAGGTCCAGTCGTTGCTGGTTTCCATGCCTGTAGTTTCAACACTGCTGCGCTGACGCGGAATCAGTGGTCGAGGTGCGCTGGACCAGTTACGACGAACCCAATCGGGTACGTAGTTATGACACAAGGCGGTGTAGCGCTGCGTGCTGAGGTGTGATGAGTAGTCGGGTTGACGATACTCCCCATCCCCCTTCGGAATCGTGATTTCTGTCCGAAAATTGGGAACGCCAGTTGTGGCGGCTGCGGTGCTGGCGTGAGGAGAAAGGAAGGGTGGACCAATGGAGAGGCGGGGTCGTGTGTCTACCTCCGAACACACTCGGGGCTCCCTAGGATCGCAGAGGAGGAGGCCAGCAGTAGTGTTTGCCCGCGGCCGACTTGATCCAGCTGTGGCCGACGATACCAAACCAGCGTCCTCGGAGTTGGGACTGTTGGCCTCCCGGCTGGTGACATAATCCATTGACGAAATACCCGAGTCTTGGGTACGCACAGTGCCCGGTTTCGCGGGCGCCAACAGACTGGAGCCACGGTGCTCTGAGAGTTGTTTTGCAGTACCAGGTAGTGTTGATGGCGGTGGTGGGGGCGGCGGCGGTGGTGGTTGTGGTGGTAACACCTCCCTTTCGTGCGATGTATGCTCCTTTTGGGCAGCGGCACGAGCGGCCAACATCCAAAGTCGTCTTCGACGCTGGCTCGGCATGCGACGGAAAGACTGGTCGGAGACTTCCAACGGCTGAGGCGACGGCTGCGCCGGTGTTTGTTGTACGGGCGCATTGTTGTCGGGCATTATCTCATTTTATTTTACCTGGAGTGAGTGCTGGATGCAACGGAGTGGAACGAGACCAAAGACTGCCACCGGATTTCACTGGACGCAGTCACTAGTCGCCGGTTTTGTGTATGTACTAGTTCCGCCAGAGCAGGTCGTAACTGCCAAACTGGCATGTGATGGACATTTGTCGCTTAGCCGCATACCTCCACTTTCCTTCTATTCGATTAACCACCACTATGAATGGCAAACACAACGCGGACTTCACAGTCCGCCGTTTGAGCAGCTGTCAGCAGCCTGGTGTAGTGAGGGCGAGGATTGCACAGCTGAGAGACCGTAGTTTGTGGGGAAAACTCCAAGTGTTCGCCCTCCCGCGACGATTTGTGCTTATAAAAGTGCTAACGACTATCGGGACGGTAACGACATCGACGCTGGTTGAATACGAGAAGTGATTACTGTAAGCGCCAGCAAAGGGGGCGGCGATGCAAGCGCAGGCGGACG